GGAGGATTTATTTTTTCCTGATGTGGCTGCTCGGCCCACTGTCCCCATTCGACTTTTCCGCGCTGGAAGAATGCGAGTACCTCGCATATCTCACACCGCGAATCCACGCTCTCCTTTCCCGCGCCCAGACGTCCCTCAGGTGGCTGACCCTCGACGCACGTACGCACGCGTCGCTCCGGCCAGACCCTCGCTGATTCAGTTTTGTGCAGAGCACGCAGCCACGCTCCCCGCGCTCCTCGCCCAGTTCCCCGCGCTGACGGACCTCACGCTCACGAGCACCGCGCACGACCTCGCCGACGTCGAAGCGCCACTCGCATCAGCCCCACCGCTTACGCGCCTGACGCTGCGCCTCCGAAACGAGCACGGCATGCGCGAGGACGCGCTGCGTGACCTCGCCGAGGCGTGTGCGGCCTCACAGTCGGCGTGTCGGGTTGCGGTGCATGTGCAGCGTGTGCCGTCGGGTGCCCAGGGCGTGCCGTCATGCGCCACGTGTTTGTAGCGTGGGATGCGCGCGGGCTGTTGGAGATTGTGGCTCTAGCGTGCGATGGGCGGTCGAACTACCTGACCTCAGTACCCTCCCACGCTGCTCTGACGTTCTTCCATCGCTTGCTCTTCAAGATTTTTTCGCGCCTTGCAAGCCTCCCCTTCTGATCGCTATCTCTTCGGACTGGCGGCCTTGGACTCGCGCGTCCTGTACCAGAATTCCGCGGTACAATGCGCCGACTAGGGTCGATGCTGCGCGCTCTTGCAGCATTGTGACGTTTATCTGCCGGCTTCTTTGGCTGGAAATTCCACTCTCTCTCGCCCACACAGCCGTCTTGTATATCCTCCAAAACACACGCCGCGCACGCTGAGCCCCGGAAAACTTATCGCTCATTTGGCGTGTCTATCCGGATGGCACGCCAGTTTTCGCTGTCCATCTGTGCTCGCAATCTCTTCGTACGTGGCGTGAATATTGGATCCGGGCTTGGGCTCTGTAAAGGCCAGGTATGTTTTTTCTTTCTTTTTCTGCCCGCGTCCGACTATTTTCCTCTGTCCTCGGCTCCTCCTGAATTTAGTTCCACACAGTGTTCCACGTCTAAGCAAGGATCACGCTTGGATGATTCCGGATAAAATGAGAGCACTAAGTAGGGTTTTGCAAGGTCCAACGCGGAGGAGTCCATCCCTCTCACCACCACTTTCCCCGGGGTAAGCAGGACTCGCCTGTTCGACTCGGGTTTGCATCATGAGGGGACTTGCACTGAAAATTTTACAGTGTCCGCCCATATCGAATCAGAATTCAGCCCCGACACCCACAAAGGACATTCTCGTATTCGAATCTCGCTCAATCGACGAGTGCATACTTCTCTGCAAATAACCAATACGATGTGCTCAATAAATGTGGAGATTAACAAGATATTTCAGCAGGAGCCGCTCGAAGCGCTCATATCGCTGCCCACCGAAGCTGCTATCACTTCTTTGCCATGAGCTGGCTACAGGATCTACGGCAAGACTGGCCCCTGACTATCATCAACCTGCTGCGAAATTCGTCCGTCATCACCGTCTCTCGCCAGCCGGGATACTCAGCGCTTTGATTGGGAAGATCGCGCCACGTATATTCTGCCATTTGTGGCCGCGCAGGATATCGTGTCTGCTCATTTAATAATTCCAGCGCATATCCCGTCCGAGTATGTCTGTGAACTTATCGATGTGCGGTATCGAAGGGCGTGAAGCGCTTCGTCTTGATGAGCGGGTCTCTGTATCCGATTCAGGGACTAATACGAGCACAAGATTCGGGCGTTCCGTTCTGTATCCTTCGGCCTTCGAGGTTCTTCGGTGCGTTGATTTGCTTGTGATGCTGCTTCACACACGCATTTTAAGCTCTACTTTATATGAGATGAATAAATGGAATGGCTGTCTCAACAGGGTGTAGTTTCTACAATTTTATAAGGTGCATACAAGCATATTTTGGCGATAGGAATGGTGCCCTGACGAAAGGCAAAGCTAGGAATGATAAGTTCGGGAGCTAGATATGGCTTCTAATAGCGTAAAGAATGTCGGGGAATATTTCCATCAATTATCGTGGGGCTTTCAGCCCAGCAGAATTTGAGTGAGTATTTTCCGAAAAGAACAGCCATGGATTTCGGTTAAATCCAGTTCTTTTACTGCCCCGATGGCATATGAAGGAGCTTTGAGAGAATTAATGCTCATTTCGAGCTTCTGCGGCGCTTACAGCACATGGAGTGGGTTGATGAGCTCTGGGAGAGCAGAATTAGGGGCTGAGTTTCCAAATACGGTAATACCACAATCTCCATCACTGATTTACGGCAGGGTTGCCGACCACCAAACTGACGCGAGGACTGATCGTTCAGACAATTCGGTTTCGATTCAGTGCGAGTGAGTGGTTCATTAGTTTTTTTTTTTTTGCAACTCATCGAATTTCTTCTTCCTCATTTTAGGCCGGCATTACCGTCGCAGTCGTCTCTGACGCGTTCCTGACGCCGACGTTGGTGATAGTTGGGTCATAGAAGAAAACCAAAATCAGGATGTTCTGCCGGCCTGTGCCGATTCGTGACAAATATCCATCCTTGTCGACTTCGCCGTCATTGACGTCATCTAGCTGCTCAGTGAGGCAAACGGACATATTTGTTACACGTCAAGTGCCATGAATTCATCGTTCAAATGGCATCCTGAGACAGCGCGGAGTGGACCGCCTTCTCATTCTGAACCTCAGCCCATAACACTCTGTTCCGTTTGGGCCTCTCAAGAGGACGACAGACGTTCTTGGATAGCCCGGTACCGCTCGCGACTAAGATCCGTCCGTGCCCGTCGCCGAGCCCTCATGTTTTCACAGGTACTCCGCAAATGACTCATTTCGAACCTAACACCGACGTCAGCAGCAGTAATAGTGCCGTCTTGCAGCGTATAAAATGCCCTATGGTCGTGCGTGGAGCTCGCAAATACCTCCTTCCACCCCTCACACAGACGAACCTCAAGTGCTTAAACCATGTCCGACGTCGAAGCTAATGGCACAACTGGCAGGAGAGGAATCGCTCCGAGTAACGCCGTGGGCCGCCCTGGTTTCATAGGAAACCCCACTGGTTTGTGAGTAACTGCCCGCTGATGTCTTACCGGCGCTCACGGCGAATACGACAGAGGAATGATGGCCTTCGCCACGACGCTGTTCGTGCTCTCGCTTTATGAACTCAACACCCGCCACGTCAGCGCAGCTAATGGTGTTCTGGGGCTGTCGTTGTTTACTGGCGGGCTAGCAACTTTCATGGCCGGAATGTGGCACTTCCCCAGAGGCAATGGATACGGTGCAGCGGGTGCGCATCATACATTTAGTTGTTGTCACCCACTCATCGTTCCTAGTGTTCACGATGTACGGAACGTTCTGGATGTCCTATGGACTCTTTCTCATTCCCGGTACGGGCATCGTGGGCACATACACGCCGACAGAGTTCAGAAGCGCAATCGGCATCTACTTCATGGCGTGGATGATGGTCACCATATTCTTAGGGCACGTTTTCTTCTCCAGTCCACTCCAATTTTAAAGCGGATGGCTAATGCGTATTTTGCAGCATTGCGTCGATAAGACGTCACATAACGTGGATCCTATTCTTTAGTTTCCTGACGTTCACATACCTCTTCTTCGGAGTCTCCAACTTCAGTACCAGGTCTGGGTACGTCCTTTTCGCCCTTGTCTTTGGTACCTCATCGTGTCATGATACTGACGCATTCGCCCCAGTCTCCCAAAGGCGGCTGGCGCATTTGGTATCATCACATCCTTAATCGCCTATTACCACGCCCTCTCGAAGTTGCTGGAAGGAGATTATGCACCCTTCGGGCTGCCCTTGGGTCGACTCGGGCCGTCGCCACAGCGATACTGAGGAATCAAAAGCGTTTTGTTTCGCTCCCCGGGTCTTCGAACGTGCAATTGATATGTAGCTTCATCCCACACTTATTCTTAGCACCACATTTTATGCTTTAGTAATGTGTAATATGTATTTACGCCCGTGCACACACGATCATGTTCTGTGGACGAGAGGGTCTTCTTGAATTTCTCGAGCTCGCGGGCACTGCCCCAGGGAAGCAGTTCTATGGTTTTCTGACATTGTACTAAATCCCCGGAATTAGATGAGCGGCCGAATTTACCTGACCTCGCTTCCCGGTACCCTCCGCGGCCCTTGCGTCGCCCTAACACACGATCATTCGGACGGGGTGGCGACTTGCGTAAAGGTAGTAGGTGCGCACCGAGGACCGCCTGGCCTCGTACCGCGCGACGGGCCGCCCCGTACCCGACCAATCCCAGACCGCCGTGCGCTTCGCCCGTGAGCGTGCTTTTCACGCTCTCTTCTCCTTTGATGCGACGGACGGCGTCACGGCGGCGAGCCCTTGCCACCTCGCCGTATATAGTACTCTTTCTCGCTCCCACCCCCAATTCTTGGACTGCTCGGGCCGGACTTGAGAAAGTCTTTACCAACAACCTGCACTAAATATACTACGGTAAACTGCAGCAGCGACACTCTCATCCCACTTCGCTATGCTGGCACCTCCTGTTCTTCAATGGCTTGTCCCGCCTTACAAGCCTCCGTTTCTAACTGGTCCTGCAGCGCCGATCTCTCCCACGCCATGCCTTGGCTGAAGCTTCCGCCGCCGGCCGTGTTCTTAGATGTTCTGGTAACACGCTATATCTTGCTGAAGCGGTGCGTTCGCGTTCAGAGTAAGGGTCGGATTACATTTATATAACGTTGCCGAGGATGTTGATCGTGACTAGTCTTGAGTGTTTGAGCTGTCTAACATTGATAACCCATGAATAAACCACCCATGGCCTGACCCCGAAGCGAACGGGGCACCTTCTGCATAGATGCGGTGGAGATTTGTGAATCTATACAGACGCAGCAACCACTGTGCTATCAGGTTCATTCCTGCTTGTCTTGACTCTCTGATGAACTCAGCTTATCTTGATTCCAGACCGCCAAAAGAAAGAGAGAGAAAAAATCATTCGGAATGAAATATGACCTGACCCCGAATCGAACGGGGATCCTCTACTTAAACAATATCATAAAGATGTTAATTGAAGTAGACGCACTAACCACTGTGCTATCAAGGCGTTCATCCCCACTCTCGTAACAACCTAGGTCAATTGCGACGCCTTCAAATAACGAGCGCACGCAAGAAAGTTATTCAAAGCCAACCAACAATAGCAAAACGATAACAGCGTAGCATCATCTCTCCCTCCCCCTTTCCCTCCTACCATCTTGCCTCCTCCTTCCCACTCAGCAATAAGCTACGCACGCCTAAAACCCCCTCCGTCCCACCCGCGCCCACGTCCCGTCGGCGTCGCCCCAAAGGAGAACGTCGACCCCGCCCCGCTTGTTGTTGTGCTGCCGGGGCCCCGAATACGTTGGTTTGCGGAGCAAGTTGTTGTAGAGCACCGAATACGTTGAGTTGCGCTGCGGGTTGTTGTTGTGATTGCCCTTGCAGCGGCAGGGCGCCAAACACGTTAGGTGTCGCCACGGGCGTGAGTTGCGGCGCCGAACGAGAACCCCTGCGCCTGCACCGGCGCTGCCTGGGTTGGAGCGCCGAACACACTCGGTTGTGCAGGTGCAGGTGCGGCGCCGAAGGCGAACGCCTGCCCATGCGCTGCCTGCAGTGCACCAAACAGCGTCGGCAGTGGGACTCGTGCGGGCGCAGATGCGAACGCGTTCACCGCTCGCGGCCTGAACGTATCCACAGCTGCGGGCGGGGCGAGCGGATTGGTGGGTACAAGCGGTTTGAGCTGGCCAAGCAAGGTCATCCCGCCGGGGGTAGGCAAGCGCGGGCTCACAGCGCCGGGCGTAAGGACAGGCCCGCCGGTGAAGATCTGCGCGGAGGAGAGGAAGTAGAGGCGGAGTCTCTGGTGGGGCGCGCGCTGCGGGAATAATGAGTGAAAGCAGAAGGAGAGAGGGCAGCACAAGCAAGGCAAGATGAAGGAAAGGCAGGTCTGGCACGGAGACAAAAGTACGAATGCGAAAGGCATAGAAAGAATGACAGGAGAGGGAAAAGACGAGGGAGCGCAAAAGAGCGGAAGGAGGACGAGTGAAAGGAAGGCAGAATAGCAAAACAAAGGAGACAGAGCTAAGCAAAGGAAGCCCCGGGTGATCGACAGGAAGAAACGAAGGCGGGGGTTAGCGCACAACAAAGCGAGAGGAAGAAGGCCGAACGAAAGAATCAAAGAGGAGGAAACGAAAGGGAGGATTGGCGTGTTAGATCTTGTAGACGCGAGCACAAAACGCACGCACCTCAACGCTGTGGCCGGCAAACTCGGGGCGCGCGGAGATGCTGACGAACTAGTCACCGGAGGCGTCCTACGGGAGGGCGCCGGCGGCGCGACGGGGCGAGGGCAGGGACGAAGGCGAAGAGTGCCTCGCGCGCAAGGGTACAGCTTGCGCGTAGGGGTACAGCTGCAGCTCTTGCAATCTGGATTCACGTTAGTCGATACCAGGAAAATAGACAGTAGCTCGCGCCTGAAATGCGCATTTTCGACGCCGCCTGCGCAAGGGTAGCCGTGCAGGGTCGGTAGGCGGCGGCGCTGGTGCTCGCCACGGGCGGACATCTGCCCGTGGCTCTATTGACAGATGTCGGTTCGCCTCTTAGTGCGCGGCGCGGTCAAGGTCTTCTAGGTCTTCGGAAGGGCGATCCAGAGGCACGCCTGGGGCTAGTAGAGTCTTTTTGAATGCACGACACGGGCGGGCACATCGCTAGCTGAACGCCAGCGAACTGGAATCCAGAGCCATAGATCCATTCATAAGAGATCGGTTGCCGGTCTAAGAGACTCGCGATCGAGAGCAGAAAACCCAAGAAAAACGAAAAACGACACGTGGGAAGTTGTGCCAGATGCCGAGACTCGGCATCCCTCAGACATTCCCGACAACCCTCGAATTCGCTTATTCGCGGTTCCTTTCTTGTTTTGGGCTGCGTGGTGACCTCGGAGCGTCGAAGTACGAATAATGGCTTCGTTTTCCTTTGCGTTTCCCTCAGAAACTTGAACATCTAGTACACGTTGAGTGCACAGTACGTTATCTAACTGAAACTGGAGCTCTTGAACGGTGCATGAACAGGGAGGTAACGGAGGCGTCAGCTTTTATCCACCTCGAGATCCCCTCGTTGAATGAACCATGACTTCTTCGAGCTTCTTCAGCTCCCCGCCTCCTCTCCTCGCTCTGCAGCTCGGTTCTATTTTTTGGCCCACCCCAGCCCATTGATCTACAACACTTACAACGACGCCAATTCGAAGATAGAAATCGGGTGCACGGCGGCTATCGGTCACGTAAGCGCCATAATGTAGGCCGCCGACCGGGGTTCGACTCCCCGCACCCGAATGATCTTTGACCTGCGATGTTTTTTTTTGAACCCTTCCGTTACCTTCGGGGAATCTTTCGTCCAGGCAATTTATCTGATGAGCCAATCACTTCCTCTGCAGCTCGTGGTTAGTTGAACAGAACGTCAATTTCAGCATGTCCTGCGCTTTCGTCGGGGAGACATTTGAACCGCAATGGTCCGATTCCTGCTTATAGTTATGAATCCGGTGTGGTTCATGGTGCACGGCGGCTCTTAATGTTGCGATTTGCCGTGTAAACCGCAGCAAGGGGTTCGACTCCCCACGCCAGTGTTATGGACTATTTTTTTTTGTGTCGCTGTGTCGTACCGGGCGGGTAAATGGCACGTACGGGTTGGTTGAACCATCTAGAGATTTATGGGCTCGCGGTGAGTGATGGAATCTATCCGAAGGAATATCGTTTACTTTCCGTGGTTGATTACTGCTCGGGCCAAACGTTAACGGCGCGGAATTTCTGCCTGACCTGGTTTTGAGTTGGTGGGTGGCCTGGTGTCGAGTTGAACATGAATGCTGGTCGAGTAACCTTGCCGACGAGCCCAGCAAAAGAAGGACCATACAATAGGGGACGACCTGATCCCGAGTCGAACGGGGATCCCTGCATAAACCATCCAAGTAACAGCACGAGCAAAATCTGCAGGTGCACTGGCATTGTGCTGCCAGGTATTCTTGTCGGTAGATATACCCTGAATCTTGAGTTATTACAACTAGCGGCTTGAGCAGGAAAATATCAAGTATCCCAGCGCTTTAATTTGACGAGAACGCGGTACCCACTGCCCCCATGACGAGGGTTAACTGACGCAGAAAGACAAATCGCGAGGGGCGCACAACCGATGAGCCGGCGAAAAAGGTAGATCAGGGTAGGATGACTGACCCCGAGTTGAACGGAGATCATCTGCAGATATCTTATTTTCTTTGCGCAGCCCGCCAATAGCAGCAGACGCACCGGACATTCTGTTACCAGGTCTCTCCTGGGTAGTTTCATTGAAGTGCTGGGACTCCGGGGTACAGGACAGAAAAAAATCAGGTACAGTGGGTTGGTTTATGAAGAATTGTACCATCGTACGCTGCTTTGTAGGAGAGAGAACGAGGACTGCCTTGTGAAGCAGAGACAGGAAAAAAGCGATCGCACTAATGTCGGATGATCTGACCCCGAGATCTGCAGCTCTGAAGCATCATTCAGCGCCAAGTATGAGATGCAGGCGCACCCAAATTGTGCGACCAGGTCTTCCTCAGTAACTATAACTCAGTGCTCTGAACGAAAGTACCGCGAGTGGGCATCTAAGACAAAAAAGACCCTTGGTTTAATTTGTGGAACTCATCGCAACGGTCAACATCGTGGAGTACCACGCCTGACTCTGGATCCGCAGTAATTGCCTCACGATTGTTCGTGGAGCAACCAATCACAGAGGAATAAAAAAGACACAAGAAACCTGCGGATGACCTGACCCCGAGCCGAACGGGGATTTTCCGCAGACTGTCACAATTCCAACAACTGTATGTAGACACACTGACGTTGTGCTACTAGGTCATTCCCGACTAACTCTGCCCCGAGTCTTGAGTTAGTGCTGATTCTAGCAGGGGAAAGTATAAAGTATACAGTTCGTTACTATGGTACCATCCGAGGGAGGTATGAAGTATGAAGGACACACGTGAGTTTCCAGATGCAAGGAAGGAGGTCGTGGGTGCTGTTCGGAGAAAACCAGCCGACGAGCCTTGAGAAAGATTAAAAAATAACTGAATCTCCAATGTATAACCTTACCCCGATCCGAACGGGGGATCTTCTCCCGAATCTTTTTTACTCCATATACTGTATTCACTCTATGCAGACGTACGGGCATTGTGCTACCAGGTCTTTTCTGGATGCCTCGGGTCTTGAGGTATTGAGAGTGTGCTGTCCTTAGACAGGTGAATATAAGTACCAGGTGGTTCAATTTGTGAAGGAGGCCGTGCCATCGCGACTACAGTTAGTCAACAGATGCAGAAAGAAAGGTGCAGCGGGTGAACTGAAACAACCGATGAGCCAGACAAAAAGGTGGAGGAACAAAGGACAGGCACTTATCACTTTTGACATCGTAAGAAGCAAGTATATAATTCGCCGGAGAGAATGTATCAGTGAGGGTCTTCCCGGCACTCAACTTAAATCACGAGCACCGAACGTAGATTCATCATCCTGCACAGTGCACGCAGGCAGCCTTTTGTAACTGCTTCTATCCGTGTGTTGTGACGTGTTGAAGCTTGTGTAGTCCTAGATGTTAATCCCACACACCATTCGAGCTGCCTAATGGCAATAACTCATGAAAATAAAAATCTGAGACTCAGGTATGAACCTCATATTGGGGCAAGGGGATTTTGCCGCAGCACTCCCACTGCCGCTTGGTGCAGCAATGTCAGAGGAAATGAAGAGATTTTACATTGCCAGCGAAAGGAAGTGAACATGGTCATGGTGGGATTTAGAACAAAAAAAGTGGAAACCTGTTGGCCAGACTGGAACACTAACACCAGAACACACAAATCCAACACCCCATTATGGATTCCATAGTGAGCAGGCAGGCAGCTATGAACAAGAAGACAGTAAATGACAAGTGACAACTGTGTATGTAAGCATATGTGATCAGTCTGTAAGCCGGGCCAGGCTTACATATGGTACTTCACAGGACACTAAATGGAACTGTCTGTCTTCTAGGGTATTAATGGTTTAACAACTTGAATGGGATGAAGGATACCAACTAACC